AAGTGTATTGCTTATTTTTTTCTCTTTCTTTTTCCTTTTTTTTTTTCAACTTTTGTTTCCATTATGTTTCTAGGGAGGTCTTACTGCCTCTGATGTTTTTGCTGTGGAGTGGATTCATACCGGAGCCATTCACTTTGGGATGACAGTTACATACTTCGGCTTTATAAGTGACGGTAGTTCCTCTGCAGTTCATTTTTTATTTTGTTTGGTGATGTTTGAAATTAGTTCCTGATTCAGCTGATCTAATTGTTTCCCTTAATTTTTAAGTCCTCATATCTATGAAATGCTGAGTTGTAACTACAAGGCACAATCATTGATTATAATTATGCTTGCCAGTTATAAAAGGGGCTAAGGTAGCTCATATTCAAACACTAGATCATAGGTAGACCAGACGGTCCCCATCCCACATATTTACACAACTTAGCGATGTGGGACAACTGATACCAATTAACGCGTTGAAACTGGAAATATATAGGTGTATTTGATGTAGTTGATCTATGTGCATAACATCAATAAACCTATTGGTCCTATCGGTACCCGTTACTCAATGAATGCCACTGCTACATGTTGAACTTTTGTTGAGAACAAATCAATGGAATGCTACTTTTTTCTACTGTTATTTATAGCGATATGGTTCAAGTAAGATCTACTGAGTGAAGTTCAGTTGATATTATCTGTAGTTCTAGTTGCTTATCTCTAGGCTAAATGGCAGTTAAAGCCACAACCTCTACGTTCTTTGGCAAACTAAACCAAACTTTTTAAAAATTGCAAACATAGACATAACCTTGCGTGCTGGTTGCCACCCGAACCCAAATTGACATCCTGGTGGATTTTTAACTGCTAGGCCGGCAACTTGAGGCAACGTAGCTATTCTGTTTGTTTACTAAGATGTCACGTCATTAGGGTTAATCGCAAATAAAATCACAACCTTTTCATTTTTTTTTTTTTATTTTTTTTATTTTTGCAAACAAAAGCAAACTTTTAAAAAGTTGCAAACAAGGACATCAGCTTTGCTTTGATTGCAAATCAAAATAAAAAGGAATTCCCCGATGGTTCTTTTTTCCAGCGTGTCCAACTGAAATGAAGTTGTGAAAATATACTGGATTTATCCTTGTTAGTATTTGTAGAAGATCTTCCTGAAAGGAGATTTGTTAATTTATGTTGTTTCTTTTTGTATGATTTCTTGATGAGGTAATCTAACTTATTAATTATGGATGTCCCTATTTTTTCTTGACTTTTTGAGTTCCTTAATGTTTTTGTGTGTGTGTGTGTGTGTGTTTTCGTTGAGGGATTAAGCAAAACCAACACTGGTGAATTCTTTGTTCTTTTTTGGAAGTTGTTTCCCTTAGCTGACCTCAATCTTCTGTACTTGCCACAGTCTTGGAGCTCTCAGAAAAATATCAAAAACGATTTGGCCCATTACGCTACTTCGTCGCCGGTTTCCTCAAGTTCTTATGCTTGCCCAAGTACAGCTATGAGCTGGAATACCTCCCGGTCCAAACCGAAGCCCACGAAGGCCAACTCTCTGGCAATCACATCATCGACATGTCAGAGCTCTACACCGACATAATGCGCAGGTCTAGCAAGGAAGGCCTCCCTCGTGCCTCCAGCCTCTCGAGCATCGACTCCATAATGACCCCTAGCCGCATGTCGGGAGCTGACGTGGACACCAACGAGCCGTCAGACTATGTACGGGCCATCGACTCTAAATCCAAACGCCTCTCTGCCGGCAAAAACATAACCGGGCTCGAGCCCGAAGTCATACACCCGGTCCTCCCTCTCTCGGCTACTCCTAACTGGCGCAGAACTCGGTCCAAGTCGAGGGCTGAAAAAGGCTGGGCCGTGTCAAATGCTGCTAACGACCCCACCAGGTGTTCCTGGGCCACCACAACAACGTACGATAGGGAGGACATCTCGTCCACTTTGTCGGACCCTGGCCCGATTTGGGATGCCGAGCCCAAGTGGGACTCGGAGGCCCACTGGACCGTGGAGAACAACACCATTGAGCTGCCGGGCCCACCTGAAGGGTCAGAAGGCAGTGATAGGAAGGAGAAGGAAAGTTCAGGGAGATCTGAGGAGAAATGGGTGGTCACAAAGGGCCAGTTTCTTGGGGTGCTCGTTTGTAACCATTCGTGCAAGACTGTGCAGAGTTTGAGTTCTCAGGTGGTGGCCCCAAAGGCCGAGCACGATGACAACACTTTGGATCTGCTGCTGGTCCGTGGGAGCGGGCGGTTTAAGCTGTTGAGGTTTTTCTTGCATCTGCAAAGGGGAAAACACCTTTCCTTGCCGTACGTTGAATATATTAAGGTGAAAAAAAAAAAACACTGTCTCATTCAATTTGAAATTCCCCTGCTTTTGCTTCCTGAACCTATCCCAAAAATGCCGAGATTGAAAAACAAAAGGAGCTGAAAACAAAGAAGACGTATTTACAGAGAACATAGAAATATTACATTTAGGTGCATTCTTTTTTTATTTGATAGTTAACATTTAGGTGCATTCTTTTTGCACTGAGTCAGTGTCGAAGTAAAAAGACGCTAGATTTATACTGATCGAGTTGGTTTTATTTTGTCTTTCCAAACTATTGAGCTTCTTGCATTTTCCCTATTAACGCTGAAAATGCATGTGGTGCCCTCTGACCTATATATATTCTTAGGACCATCTGCTCCCAAAGGGTTAGTACTGAAAAATGTTCACAGTTAGGCATGCAAATTCGAAATTCTGAAGTTTCTTCGGCCAGGTGAGAAACTCACAATAGTTCGATAGACAAAATCCAATTGTCACTTAGAATCTTTTGTCACGATACATGGCTACCATTATCTATGGGACCAAGAAACCGAAGGTGATAAACCATACTCGACTCCAGTACAGGCAGCTAAACCCTAAACTGAAAACTTCACAAACATTTTCTTACTGTTTGGGCGAATCATAAAAGAAGGAAGAAATGATAAAACTAATAAAAACAATATATTTTTCTTTTTCCTTTTGGATATAGAATAATCCAGCTGCTTCTTTATTTTTGGTCGTGTTTGTTACATAACTAGTACAGTGAAGCTTTTGACGTTAAGTCGTGATTTACCCATCAGCTCTTCAGCTCTATTGTGGATTTGACCCGAAGTGCTAAATGCAGGTTAAGTCCGTTAAGATAAAACCTGGAAAGCACACGCACAATGGATGTGGCATTGATGGCGAACTATTCCCAGTGAATGGACAGGTCATGTGCTCATTACTTCCCGAACAGTGTAGACTAATTGGGCGATCTCCATCTTCTTCTACCAATTGATTATCTTCGGATATTTCAAGTGTTAGTCCATCTTTCATGTTTGCTTTGTCAGACAAAAGATCACA